TGCAGGCTGGGAGCTTGACACGTTAACCACTTGACCACATTGCCACGAGTGCCCTTGATCACAGGGCAGATGTGAATTTTGCCATATCATATTCTTTGGTGGTATTGTTGATGATCCAAACGTATATTTGCTATAAAAATCGACTACTATACTTTATTTTTCGAATTAAGTATTGTTGTCGAGCTCCCATCCTGTACCGTCGCGGTTCGACTCCCGCTGAAGGTGTTGACAAGACCGATGCGAGGTCGAAAATGCAGTCCATTCCTGTCTGGATGAGAAGACCTTTTGGGAAAGCAAGTGGTATATGTGAAATTGAATGGAAACGTCAGCTCAACTCATATCATTATGGGAAAATTGTACAATCAGTCCTTCATCAAACTTAAACGAATTTGGGTGAATACATCTCATATTTTTTCCACTAATTTTTCCCCACCTCTTTCCTCTCTCTCCTCGTCTCTCCTCTCATCGACTTGTTTCACACCCTTTCACACCTGACCAGTATCGGTCTTTTACTTGCTCTACTCAAGGCCACCGGTTGCCAAGGCTCGGCTACCTGTTCCGATGCCAACGGACTGCAAAGGAATTCGGCTTCAGGCCACTTACGACGAATGACGGCAATTTCGTTTAAGGTGATGAATAACTGGTAGAACAATTTTCCCACAATGAGTGTGAGTAGAGCTGACATTTCCATTCAATTTCACATAGCCTTGCTTTCTCAAAAGTTGTTCTCATCCAGAGTGGACTGCAAATATACGTTTGCTTCATCGACAATCCCACCAAAGAATGTCATATGAAAAAAGGCCTGGCCCTCCTTGAAATTCACATTTGACCTGTGACCCAAGGGCACTCGTGGCAATGTGGTCGAGTGGTTACGTGTCAAGTTCCCATCTTGCGCTGTCACGGTTAGACACCCTCTGCGGTTGTTGATAAGACCGATGCGAGGTGAAAACTGCAGTCCACTGGTGCCTGGATGAGAACAACTTGTGGGAAAGCAAGGCTATGTGAAATTGAATGGGAAAATTCTTCTTCTACCAGTCCTTCATCACCTTACACGAAATAGGGTGAATACATCTCATACTACCGATTTACTGGTAGTCTCGAAACTCTACTCAAACAGGAAAAATAAGTAACCTAGTCGATTGTTATAGCAAATATATGTTTTTTTCATCGACAATCCCACCAAAGAATATGATATGGCAAAATACACACATGCCCTGAGAGCCAAGGGCACTCGTGGCAATGTGATCGAGCGGTTAACGTGTCAAGCTCACATGCTGCATTGTCACGGTTTGACTCCCGCTCTACTCATATGATTGTGGGAAAATTCCACTTCTACCAGTCCTCCATCACGTTAAACGAAATTGGGTGAATACATCTCATATTGCTGATTTACCGGTAGTCACGAGCACAATACTTAAATGGGAAAATTAATCGAAGATATGAAGACCAAGACGGTGTGGAATGTACCACGTCCACGGTCCGACTTTGGAAATAACTATGCTTCCATGCGAAAATTAATGCTGTCCGAATTCGAGAACGTTGAACTTGTGGACTCCAAACTGACACATTCACTCTGAGTAAGAGCGCCTCTTTGTGATGTCACACAAACTGCAGCTCATGCAAACTTGACCTGCTTTCAACTCGTATCCTGTCTCGACGGGATACACTCTGCTCAAACTCGTCATCACAATCATCATCATCATCATCATCATCATCATCATCATCCCCACTCCTTCAACACGCCTCCCCAAACACTTTTCCCTTTGACTCTTCCGCTTGCTCACTGGCACTGCCCCTCCTCCGAAGAATCCCTTTCCTGCTACTCACGTCTCCTTCTCCACGCCAGGCGCCTAGCAACGGTGCCCTCCAGTCTCCGCGCATCGTCTCGACTACTCATTCCTCCCCATGTCTGTCGGCCTGCGCAACCTGCCTTTCGCCATCGAGCATCACACACACTGGACACACTCTCCGCCGGCCAACATGCCGACGTGGCTCAGCTCAGCACATAGCGCAACATGTGAGCCATTTTCACACGCAAACTGGCTGGCTGGCTGGCTGGTTGGCTGGCTGGTTGGAAAGACGACGTCGAGAAAGAGAGCGACGTGGGCACGACGTCGTGACGACGAGCCAACCGATGAGCAGGAGGGAAATCCCGCTCGTCTGCCGGACAGACGAAGCAGACTGTATGAATGTTGCTACAAACTTGCTGACACTGCGTCGTTGTGGCTGGCTAAAACCTGTTGACCAGGCGTTGACCTTAAGCCGTTGCCCTTCCGGTGCTACAGGCGCCGGACGGACCAGCCGATCCTCCTCCGTCCATCCCTCGCTGCCTGTCCCCTCGTCGCTCTATCCTCCCACCTCCGTGTCTCACTGTGTTTCACTGTCTGATTGTGTGTGTGTGTGTGTGTGTGTGTGTGTGTGTGTGAGAGAGAGAGAGTTGTAGTCAATTTCTGCATTATTGGTAGCCTCGCCGTAGACGTGGTAGCGTCGAGGCGAGGCAGCGAGTCAGGCCGGTCCGATGACCTTGTCCACCCGCACAGCCGGACAGCCAGGGCCAGGCAGAAGAGCCTGAGACCGGGAGGCGAAATGCAGTACCGGTCGGCCCAGAAACCGAATGACCGTCTGCTCATCGGCTGCCGGACGGATCGATGCTCTACCAGATAGCCGCGTCTCCATTCCCGTTGCTGTCGCTCTATCCGTCGGCCTCGGTGACTAGCCGACTCCGGTCGCTTGGGCCGTAGGCCGGTTCCGCCACAGGCCTAGCAACAACGACGGCCCGAGCAACACAGACAGCCTGAACCCCAGACCCGCGAGGCTGGGCGATATGCAGGCCGGCCTCACATGTCGTCGCTACGGCGACTCGTCTCTTGGCAATCGACACGCGCGCCAACGCACAACCCTTCATTTGCTCCCCACTAAACCGGCCGACTACACTCTACACCATTTTAGGCACAGTCACACCGAGACGACTCAATCATCCACGCTGCTGTCGCTTTGGTTACGCCCATTTGCTGCGCTACTGACTGCCGCTCCGGGTCGACTACTCAAGCAAATACTACTCGTTACTTAAAAGTAGGCCCAACTATGACGCTGTATTCGCCCTATTTTATATTCGTAATTGAGTAGGGTTTCGAGACTACCACTAAATCATTGTAATGAGATGTATTCACCCTATTTCGTGTAAGGTGATG